CATCAAGAACAACAAGAACTTTCTTGTCTTTTAGCCTATCTTGAACAACACCTAAATGAGAAATCTTCATATCACTCTGGTTGGTTATTTGAGACATAAACTGCTGTTGTAACTGCAACTTGGCACTATAGTCATCGGAACATGGTCTTGTATATTTTGCTTCGATAGATTCCATAAAGACACTCAGTTGGAAACTGTTGGAGAGTTTGTTGTATACAACTCTAGCAATGGTCGTCTTTCCAATCCCAGAAGGACCCCAAATCCCAATCATCCTCACTTCATCTGAGCCTAGGCATAACAATGGTTCCATCTTCTTCAAATGAGCAGTCATCCCAACCAACCCATCAAAATCACTTGATGAGGCAGAATTATTCAACTTGTTGGATATATCAGTAGCGATATTTCTAATCATGGTCGCTTCATTATCCCTAACAACAAAGAAGATCATCACTACATCCATTAAATACTTATAGAAAATTCACACACATCAAAAAAAAAACTTTAAGTTCAATGGATATTTAAAAAAAGCTAGAAATGTAAATAGTTAGATGTTTGTTAGGAAGACAACGAACCAGTTGGTCGAATGGTAACCGGCGATTGTGGCGACATTTGCCAAAGCTTGTCTCCATCTCCCAACGTGCTCTTTTGTTTTACCGGCACATGTTTTTTTGAAGACTTTTCCAAAATCTCCGGTCAGCTTATTTACATCAGATGGATCCACTTTATAGAAAACAGCCAACACTGTTTGACCCAATTCTTCCCTGCACTTCATAATCTCCGCCAATTCGTCAAGACACCAACTCGAAGAAGCGTAGTTTCTTGAGAGCAAGATAATTGCGATCTTGGATTCTCTAATTGCTCTAATGAGTTCGGGACCGATGGATTGTCCTCTCTCGATCTCATTATCAATGAATGGTGTGATTCCCATTCTTTGAAACTCCATCTGAATGTGACTAAGAAAGTCTCTACGGACATCTTCCCCTCGAAAACTTGGAAACACATGGTGTGTCCAGATGGGATCCAAAGACGATGGTGGTGGTGATGAAGGAGCTAAAGAAGATGGTGTTGATGAAGAAGAAGAAGAAGAGTTCTTTTCTTTGTTATCTTCTTGATGGAATCTGAGTTTTCTAAAAAGCAAGAAGAATCCTATTGCAGCAGCAATAATGGTAAGGAAGAAACAAGAAGAATCCATTATTGGAGAGAAGATTAATATCAAAGAGCTTTAAAGAGAACTATGTGGATGAAGAGACCATGCTGAAAAGTGAAAACCAAAAGAAAAATGACGAGTCTTTGTTATTCTTTAGAAAAATGAGATCAACTAACAAAAGAAAAGTTGAAGAAAATCTTAAATATGAAAACAGACTACTAGAAATAATAAGTCAAAAGTTAAGCATCGAGTTTTGGTACAGAGATGCCAATTTTCCAACATTTATAATTTTATATCTTCAAGAAAAGTCATGTAAATATTAAACAAAGAAACATGTTTGAAACTATCCTAGCAAAAAACAGAGGATTAGGTTCTTGTTTTTTCCATGTACCTACCTAATTGGTCCTACTACACTAGCAACTAGCAAGAGAGGAAGCTTCGTCCAAAGAAAAAAGAACAGTATCAAGTTTTCAATTCAAACATGGTAAGTTCTCCAACATTTCTATCCAAAGACATGATTTCTGGAACAAGTCATGAAAATAGTTTGTTGAAACTCTGAATCTAAGAAGAAAATTAGCAACTGAAATCCGAATCTATGATGCAAATCAGAAATGGGAAACACAAGGAAGCACTGACTAAAATCAATGTCTCTATCAAAAATCTAAAATTTATAGAAAAGATGTGAAAATACTTACATTGAGTTTTGATATAGAGATGCCAATTCTCCAACATTTAAAATGGCTATGATTGGTGACAAAATTTAAAGCTGTACAAAGCTGTTGTTACCAATCAAGATAAATTTATCAAAAGCTGTACATAATAACAAAAACAAGTTTTTTTTTTTTGGACAAAAACAAAAACAGTTTAAAATAATAAAAACTATACAGACTTCCTCTGTTCCTAGTTATTTGATGTTTTGAGTTTTTTACTTGCTCCACCAAGATTGATGTTTTGTAAAAACATCATCATTGTTTTTGTTTGCGACCAATAGATAAAGGTGAGAAGTAAAACAAATATTATTAAACTAACAAAATAATAATTAAAAAAATTTTAAATTACTTTTTCTTAAATTGTGTGTAAAACTCAAAACATCATTCTTTGAGGAAGAGAGGGTGTATCAAATTAAACTTATCTCTCTACAATTTTCTAGGCATGACCATGGTTACGGTTATTACAATTACGGTTAATTAATCACCGGTTACGATTATAAACTTTTTTAACTGTAACTTTAACCATTATATATACGGTTAAATACGGTTACAGTTACAACGGTTACGATTAAATACGGTTACGTTTATTTGATGATTACGATACGGTTAATATCATAGGCAAAATCTTACGAGTTACCTAATTTTTTTATATTACTTTTAATA